AAATCAATAATAAATAATAAAATGTGAATATAAATATAAAATACTATTATTATTATTATTATTATATTTTTCATTAATATATATAATAAATATATATATATTAATATAAAGCATTTAATGATGATGATGATAAATTCTTATGATATTTTATTTGTTTCTTTTTGAAAAAATATTCAGTAACTTTTTTTCATTATTTTCTAATTTTATTTTTCTCATTATATGGATACATTTCCCATTCCCAACTTATGACAGTGTACTTTTTTATTTTGTTAAAATAATAATAAAATTAATTGCTTAAAATAATATAATACTGCATAATTACAAAAATCAATATTGTGATCCTGTTCCAGTAACAAATGTCAAAGTATGGACTATTATGGACAAATAAAAGGCTCCTCTTTTGACCACTATTTTAATTTGTTAGGTTGGTCAGAAATGGACACAGTAGGGCTGTCAAATTTTTTTTCGAATTTCGAATATTCGTCAAATTTAAAATAAAAATCCACATTCGAATGCAAAAACGTTGCATTCTAATAATATTTTGCTGGATGCGCCCTCTTGTGGCCTCAGGAGAGAAGCCAACAGCTTTTTTCCCCCCAACTGAAATTATGCCTTTTAAATTCGAATATTGATAATATTTAAGTAAAAAATTCGAATTTAGTTTTTCAGCCATTTTGACAGCCCTAGGACACAGTCAATGTCACACATTTTTGTTTTTTTGTTTGAATAGTGACCTAGAAATAGCAAAAATCTGAAATATTTGAATCATAAATTTACATCCAAATTTTAGATCCTTAACTTTTTATTTCCAGATGGTGTAAATGGAAAAAAAAAATAATAATCGTTATGTGGTTTCAGACATATGGACCCCAGTGTATATAAAAATGTATTTACATAGCTTTTTGGCTCAACCCAAGTTATTAACACTTAAAAGATATTCATTGGCTGATAGAATGCTCAGAATCTTCCAAAATTGGCTTTTAAAATAACCTTTTTGACACAGACAGTGAACCTGTTTGTTGGCAGGGATTTGCCTTGCGGATTCACTCAATCTCACAATGTAATCTAGAATCAGTTCAGTTTGCTTTGGAACAATCCTCTTGTGTATTAATGGACAACAGTGTTAGAGATCAGATGCTGGGGTGTGAAAAAGAGAGCCTGATGTCTCAGCCAAGTGACGTGTGTTTGCTAGTGTATTCAGCATGTGAGCCAGCGTGTCTCTTGTCTCCAGGATCTCGTTCGGCTGCTGTGGCCGCTTCACGTTGGCGGAGCTGCTGTCGTTTTCCCTCTCTGTCATGCTGGTTCTCATCTGGGTGATGACGGGCCACTGGCTGCTCATGGACGGTGCGTCAGCATGCTGTTACTCGGTGTTTGTGTGTAGGAAGAGAATGTAAACACATCCTCTGCTTTACCTCATACCTCATGTTGTGGTGGTGTTTTTCTCTGAATCGTGTGTTTTTATCTTCTGCAGCTCTTGCCATGGGTCTCTGTGTGGCCATGATCGCATTTGTGCGACTGCCTAGTCTCAAGGTGTCGTGCCTGCTGCTGTCCGGCCTCCTCATCTATGATGTGTTCTGGGTAAGCAATTAATGCAGCAAGCCATACTGCTTCCTAGGGATGGGAGTCAAGTCTTCATATCACCATGTGTGATTTAATGGCACAGTAACCGTTTATACACTACCAGTACTAAGGTTTAGACATGTTTGTATGCCCTAAAAACCCTTTGATCTAAACGCCTTTGCTTAAAGTTGGCACGACAGATCTATCTACATTCTAAATGCATGTTATTGATCTTACTGTGAACAATTTACCTGTGCATTTGTTTTTTTTTGTGTGTGTTTTTTATAAGTTTTGAGCTCGTAATTTCTATTTAAAATGTCATAACTCAATCTAGCTGTAAAATGCCAGGCTTCTTTCTAGTGATGTATATAATTTAGTTTGCTTTTTTAGGTATTTCTTATAATCAAATGCAAGCTTTTTTTTTTTTCAATTAACTTTTTTACTCGTGATGTATGTCAAAAGTGTTAATTTCGTTAACGAAAACTATGACGAAAAATGCTAGTTGACCAGTTTTTTTTCCCATGACTAAAACGAGATGACAATAAGGTCAATAAAACCTTATTGTCTGATAAATAACTGACTATATCAACCTGCAATATCATTGACAATAAAAGACAACACTAAAATGTATAAAAAAAAAAATTAAAAAAGAATATACCAAAATTGTTTGTTTTCGACGAAATAGACAAAATATTCAGACTGCTGTACACACCTCTACTACACAAGCTTTCGTGTTTGCAGTTGCCAGATATCAAGGGTTCAAATCCCCAAATCAGAGCTTCTCTTAAAAGGATCAATTTTCTGGTGGTTGCTGATTAACAACCAAAATTTAATCATGATCCAAACAAAGAAGCTGCATACATGCAACATGAGGAGTTTTTAATCTAAATTAGATTGTATAATTTCGAAATTTGAAGCAAAAACAGAATGGTTTGACTTCAGTTTTGTGAAACTATATATAAGAGGCCCTTTCGCACCGCTTTAGTTCCAGAACTAAATGTACAGTACTAAAGTACTGGGACGATTTTGCGCGAACTATTTCCCAGTACCATTTAAAGGGTTGCATCCGCACCGAGAGTGTGTACTAGGAAGTGACGTAAGCCTTCAACCGGCTCGCGGTTAATCGTTACATCCCTACCTGTGACACTTTGGTTGCCAGTCCACTAGATCACATCAAATAATTTTAATTGCAACTCAGAAACGTGTTCCCCATCCCACCCCCATGCTGACTGTCGAGACATTTTCGTCAGTGTCTCAAATCACTCCAAACACGCTTACACAAGCCTGACATCGCTCTCTCTCAGTGTCTTAAAACAGCAGAGCAAGCTGGTCTGTCCTCTGACTCATCTCCCTCATCTCCTGCAGGTCTTCTTCTCCGCCTACATCTTCAACAGCAACGTGATGGTGAAGGTGGCCACGCAGCCTGCCGACAACCCCCTCGACGTGCTCTCACGCAAGCTGCATCTGGGCCGGGATGGCCCCCGCCTCTCCCTGCCCGGAAAGCTGGTGTTCCCCAGCTCCACCGGCAGCCACTTCTCCATGCTGGGCATCGGTGATATCGTCATGCCGGGCCTGTTGCTGTGCTTCGTGCTCCGATACGACAACTATAAGAAACAGGCCAATGGAGAAGTGCCCGGTGCTGTCAACGTGTCCGGCCGCATGCAACGGGTTTCCTACTTCCACTGCACCCTGATTGGTTACTTTGTTGGTGCGTATCGCAACAGTATCATCCAAATAAACTCTGCCATTTAAGAAGGTGGTTTGTGGTTAAGATTTACGGCAGTATTACATTTTCTGTCGATCAATTGGTCTGTCTTTCTGTTGTTCCATCTATACATCTATCTGTCGATCTGTCTGTTGTTCGATCTATCCGTCTATCTATCATTCTTTCAGTCTGTCTGTTATTTCATCTATCCATCTATCTGTTCTTTCAATCTGTCTGTCGTTCCATCTATCCGTCTATCTATCGTTCTTTCGATTTGTCTGTTGTTCCATTTATCTGCCTGTCTATTGTTCTTTTGATCTGTCGTTCCATTTATCCATCTATCTGTTCTTTCAATCTGTCTGTCGTTCCATCTATCCATCTATCAAGGCTTGAAATTGCGACCATTTTGGTTGTCGTTCTATGAAACGTTAGGCTACATAACCAATTAAACTTCATCTTTACGTTCTTAACTTTAATGCAGATTTTAGATTGGTTAATATTAGCTGTCAATCACCCAGTCACTGCTTTCCGCTGTCAGGTGACAGGGAGCTAACTACCGCGGGGAATGTAAGGGGCTGAAGAAGAGAGAAAATAGAAAAAGAAACACTGACGGATTTCTTTTGTGAACCACCTAAAGTTACAAATAATGGTGCTGGTGATAGCGATCATGTAGTGAATGTTGATCCACCAGCCTAATAGAAGGTGTACAATTTTCGGAGAGAGTGGTTGAAAGACTTCGAGTGGCTCCGCTGTGAAAATGGTTCTAGGCACTGCATTCACTGTAAAGCCTGTGGGACGGAGTTTGCAGGTAACAGCATTCGCCACCGAATCTACACATTTCGTAATTGTTGTTTTACGATGTGCGGTTTGACATTATCGAGTATATTGCAAAATCCAAACAAAACACACCTACAGAGAGTGCACGCATACATGACGTGAAGTCTATTAGGTTAGATTAGTGCGTGCGCGCATTTAGAGTGCGTTCTTTCACTGCATGATACAGTCTATTAAAATGCATCACAAAATTCAAGATATGCATGGGGCCTTTATATCATTTCATATAGTTAATCAATATCACAAGAAGAGTGCTGTTTTTTCCTCCAAAAATCAGCATGATTACAAATGTGATATTGATTTTATACAACTGTTCAATAAAAAAAAAAAGTTAATATAAATAATTCCAAACACAGCCACAGCGCTGTTTTGCGTCTCTGAGCGACATGAGGGCGTTTCGTTCCTGAATGAGTCATTCGTTAAATGATTCGGTTCAATCGCAACGACTCACTTATTAACAGTGACTTGCTGCCACCTGCTGGCGGTTTTAATTTCACATGTAAAGTTTCAAATATCAGTATTCAACGTTTTGTTTACAATATTCAAATATTTATGCATGTGTAACTGCAGGTTAAATGCATTCATGTCCTGCATTAATCAGTGTGTAAATGCGTGGTTGTGGTGCTCCTAAATTTTTGGTGAGTGCTCCTAAATTTTTGCTGGTGCTCCTAACTTTTTGAAGTTGGGAGCACCAGTGCTACCAAGTAAAAAAGTAAATTTCAAGCCCTGTCTATTATCTTTCAATCTGTTGTTCCATTTTATCTATCTATCTATCTATTAGAGATGCACCGATTGCAATTTTCTTGGCTGATTCAGATTTCCGATTTTTTTTTTTGTTGGTGTGATCTGCCGATTCCGATTTTCTTTCTAAGAACTATAATTGACAGCACATACAAACACACAAATAAATGCAATAGAATAAAGAGAGCTATGAAACTAAGTTTTTCAGGTTAAGTAAGTTTTTATTCAGGTAAGAAATACTACAGAAATTAAAGTAATCAAATGTAAAATAACATATCCAGTGTGATTTTGACATAATTTTGTATGCATTTGAACGTTTTAGCGCAGTTAGCCACTCATTTTGGTATTTGTGGCTCACAAGCTGTTTGAGACCGAGCGCGGATTGTGCGCTCCACTAATATAGATCAGTGGTCGTGCGCGCGCATTTGGTATAAGCACGAATCCTGCGGGAATGACTATAATGCGCAATACAAGCACTATTTAACCGGAGCGAATGAGACGTGTGTGAGAGTGAAGGGGTCGTCGGAGAGATGAGAGTGAGAATGCGTGGCTGACGTTATTGCCTGTGCCGCTGGTAACAAAACAGATCGGCTCGGAATCGGAAAGAAGTGAGACTGATCGGCCGATCATGAGGAAAATAGTCCGATTACGATCCCTGGCCGATCAATCGGTGCATCTCTACTATCTATCTATCTATCTATCTATCTATCTATCTATCTATCTATCTTCGCTTTGTCTGTTGTTCCATCTAATTGTCAATCTCCCTTTTTTTTTTTTTTTGTCTGTCCCCTATTCATCAATTTGTCTATCATTGTCTGTCTTTCCAGCTCGCCTTTCTATCCATCTGTTTATCTTTCGGTTGTTCTATCGATCTGCATGTAATTCTGTCTGTTTTTCCATCAACCCTTTCTGTCAATCTATTGTTTTGTCTTTCTATCTATTTGTCATTCTGTCTGTCTGTTATTTCATCCGTTTCTTTTTTTGTATCCATCTATTGTTCTGTTGTTCCATCTATCCATCTAACTGTTGTTCTTTGTGTCTTGTTTCATACCTCTATCATTCTGTCTGTCTGTTGTTCAATCTATTGATCCATTCCATTTGTCCTTCATTCTGTCCATCTATCGTTCTGTCTGTCATTCCTTCTATACATCTATCTGTCAGTCTGTCTGTCTGTCTGTCTGTCCGTCCATCCATCTTTCTATTGTATTTTTCTGTCTGTCTATTTGTGACTCACACTACACTAGGCATGCCAATCCCATATTTGTTAATACTAAAAAAGTGACTTTTTTTTAATTAAATACTACTGACAGGATTCACTCTTATGTGAACAGTAACTACTAGGGGTGTGTGATATATGTTGTCTGCGATTAATATCGTAATTGTTGTTTTAACGATGTGCAATTTGACTGAGTATTTTGCAAAAAACATTTAAAGTGCCCGTTATGCCATTTTTAAGGTTCCTAATATTGTTTTGGGAGTCTCCTACAATAGGATTACATGCATGCAAGGTCAAAAAACGCTTTCGTTTTCTCAAATTATGCATTTAATATCACCTCATTTTCCAGCGATTCTCAAACGATTGGTCCAAATAAACAGGGTACTGAGCCATCTTTCAAGAGCAAGTTTGTTTGTGGGCGGGGTCAAGTTGTTCGCTGCCAGCCAACGTAGAACATAGGCGGGAATTATGCAAATGTATTACCCTGTGACGTGTAGCGGTCACGGAAGTGGGAATCAAATTACTAACGACTCGTTTAGGCTGTAGAGAGTCGATTCTTTATTTTGGGAGACAATAACTTTATTTATCGTGCACTTTCGGCTTTACAACTTTGCTGATCGTTTACATTCACATACAGCGACATTACACACTGCATTAAAGGCAATATTGGAAATGACATAATAGGGGCACTTTAAAACATCCCTACGGAGCGCACGCATGCATTATGTGAATTCCAGATTATTGTGAGTGCGCATATAGAGTGTGTTCTTTCACTGCATGATTGTCCCTTAAAATGCATTTAGAATTATCACAAATTTAGGACATGGGGGCAGAAAATGTATATATTTATACCACTTCATATAGTTAATCAATTTCACACAAAGAGTGCCGGTTTTCTCCAAAAATTACCATGATTACAAATGTGATATTTATTTTTTATAACAGTTCCATAAACAAGAAGTTAATTAAGAGACTTACGTTTTAGACACTGCCTCTTTTTGCGCTATTTCGACAACAAAAATAATTCCAAACACAGCCACAGCAGTTTTGCGTCTCTGAGCAACATGACAGCGTTTTGTTCCTGAATGAATCAACCGTTTAAATGATTCGGTTCAATCGCAAGTCAGCTGTCCACGGTAGTCCTTAAGATACCAGCACAATAACACGCTCGTTATCGATAAAAACCCAGAAAATATTGAGATATTATTTTTTTGTCAGTATCGCACACCCCTAAGTAACTACATTAAGAACTTAAGAACAATATACAGTAAATTGTAAGCCGAATGTTTTTGATTCACTGAAAAGACTCCCAAGAGACATTCATTCTGTAATCTGACTACACTTGCACTGTATGTAATATTATTGACTGCGGCACTGTTTGATGACTGACTCTCTTTCCGTCTCAGGTCTGTTGACCGCAACCGTGGCCTCTCGTATTCACCGTGCGGCCCAGCCTGCCCTCCTGTACCTGGTGCCCTTCACCCTGCTGCCTCTGCTCACCATGGCCTACCTGAAGGTGCGTCTGTTTGCACCAACACCAGAATCCACAGGGAGGCTAGGGCCTCATTTCTAGGAATGTCAAAACGGTGTCAACGCCTCCCGTTTCCTCTTTGATCAGAATGCAGAAGTCGACAGAGTCATTGTCGGGTTATTTGAGCAGGGTGTGTGCTGGATCTGTAACGCTGCACTACATTATTTATGTGCTAGCGCACACACTCCTGTGTATGTCTCTGCGGGTACTTCGCATTCCTTTTATTGAAGCATCAATTGTACGCCGGTTTCTTTTCACTGTGGCAGATGTTTTGTTCTGCATGTGTTGTAACATAATCTCATCAGTTCGGAGTAGTGCCGTCGCTATAGCAACAGCCTCTCTTTTCCATAGAAACGATCAATTGTGGAAACGTTCATGCCAAGTCAAATATATAGGATGTTATTTTAATCGTTTTGGGCATGCATTGTCTCGAAACACATTTTTTTTGTGTGTCGAGGTATGCTGTAGTACTTGTTGGACGCGATAACCATCAACAAGATGTGTTTTAAAATCTGTTAAAGCACATTGTTTGTGCCTAAAAATAAAGCAGGGAAAAGCAAATTAGGATTAGCAAATGAAATTCCAAACACATATTTTGAAACATGAAGCTCCCACAATGTGTGATTTTCCATGTAGGTGTGTGGTTTAAAATGTGTTGACCTGTATTCTGGTTGGTGTAGTTGTAATATGAAAGTATAAATAAGGTCTTTTGTTGTTGGTTGAATGGTTTGGTCATGAGGTGTGTGTGTGGATGGGTGGGACCTTCATGGATTGAACAGATGTAATCATAGATGACGTAAACACAGCCACACGTTTTGCTGTTTTCGTCAGCACTTCTGCACAAATTAACGTTACATTGAACCATTTATGACTGTTAATAACAATCTCAATGGTTGTGCCAACCCAGTAAAGAAGGTGAGGCAAAATAAAGATTTGTGCTTGTTGACAAATTAAAAGTGTGAATAGGTGTTAACAAGATGAGGACGTAATTATATCCGCACTAGGGATATGCCGGTATCAAATTTTCATGTTGCGATTAATTGCTAATGCTTTTATCACGGTATGCGGTATCCGCACAGATCTACACAGGTTTGCACTGTTTTATAGAAGAACAGTATTGATGCATAAATACTTGTTTGCACAAGCCTCTTGTAACTAGTGGTTAAACGGATCGTAGTTGATCCGTGATCCGTACGGACCAAGCCCCATGGTTCGGCACGCATGTGATCCGCGGATTAATTGCAAAATGTAACCATAATAGAGTATAAGTTTATCATTTGTTCGTATTTACACAAGCAAGCGAATTGTAAACAATTCCAGAGAGAAAAGGCGAAGGGAACTCGATTCGTTACTCGCGCGCTGTTCACGCACAGCCGCACACGCATTTCAGACTGCGTGCGAACACCGAACTGAATCCTCTTCTGAATCCTCTGAACAGACACATAAAATTATGACAAAATACCCATTTCG